GATTATGAGCTTTGTACTTTAAAGGTGTACCAAATAAGGAAGCCGTGGAGTACACATCAAACTGTTAATTGACAAACTTGAAAACATCCATTTGCAAATTATTCCTAATGTCACATTTTCTCGACAATGACGAGATGCATTTCTGTATTTAAAATATGACATAAATTGTTAATTCTCTAGAGCAATGTGATTTGTGTGTGTCATCATCGGTTTCAATTAAGCTGCATAACCTTTGAGAAAATTAAGAAATATTTAATTTTTATTGTGAAAATTGTGCAATGTAATTTAAGAAAAATTGTATGATTGATCAACAAGGAGCAGCTACCAGTAACTGTAAGCCAGGGATAAAAGAGGCAAGGTTGATCACACACTTTTAACATTGCATTTTAACTCATTTATTCTCTTCATTTTGCATTATACTTAATGTAGTATGTCATGAGAAAATTTGCTTCAAGCACATTACCGAACATTACATTACAGAACATTACCGGGTTCCTGTACAACAGAGGGGCTCAAAGTTTTTCGCCAAGTGGCAAGGACCCTTTGTGGTCAAAAGGCAAGTGGCAAAGTTGCCTATGAGGTTGTATTGTCAAACAACCTCATAGTGAAGGAAAGGGATGTGTAAAACCTATAAACAGATATAATTTAAAATCCACCACAGTTAGAGCAGTCTTTCTCCATGTCTCTTAAACAGCATGTCATAAAGAAGCTCTTTCTTTCTGATTCATTTCTGCTATTTTGTGGCTGCATTTTTCTATTGTCTTTTGAAGCATGCTGAAGCCATTGACTGGACGTGCCTGTTTACAATGGCTGGAGCTTGGCAATCATAAGCTAGTTATTTGTGCATGGTCATTGTTGATGAACCTCTGGTCTTTTGATGGGCAGCTAATGACAGACTAATGCTAGCATTAAGTCATAGGTTCCCAAAGAGTGGGGCCCGCCCCCTAAGGGGGGCGCAGAGCCATTGCAGGGGGGGCTTGGACACTGCTAGCGTAATCCCACACAAACGCAAAGCAGGAGATGAAGCATCGCCGAATATGTTTCCAAACCAACTTCCTTCCAAGCCAAAGACTAGAAAATATGGTGAAGCATATCCAGGGGTGCACATAAGTGGTCCGCAGGTACGCATTCGCTGTCAAAATAAAAGACACGCACCAGATAAGAAGTTGCAACGTGTGTTTGCGTACATATGAAAGGCACTGTTTTTTCCGCTAGAGTGGGATTTTCACGGCATCTTCTGCACCAAATCTCTGTGCGTTCATCATTAGTTTGAAGCCAGCTCACCTCCTGCAACCACTTTTCCGAGAATACGCGCTTCTTTTGCGGTTCGGACTTCTGACATTTCTTTGGAGGTGGAGGAACACCAAAGTATTTGCGTAAAGGAGCTTGCTTCTTCGACATCTTTAAGAGTTCTAAACAAATGTCTGTCCTCCTCCAGAAAATCTTATGTACGCAAACGCGAGTTGCAACTTCTTATCTGGTGCGCGTCTTTTATTTTGGCAGCGAATGCGCACCTGCGGACCACTTATGTGCATCCCTGACCATATCTTCCCTTTGGCTTCACCTGCACAAGTGTAGGTTTCACCTGCAGAATTGGTCTTCCCTGCGTTGGAAGCACGCGCTGGGCTCTCCAAATCACGGACAAACAGTATCCCACATTCTTTATTTTTAGTTCACAAACACTTGTTGTAATGACTAACTACTCCTGACATTTTGGAGATGTTAGCTCCTTATACAGTAAAGTTACAGTGGGATACAAATATTATCAGGCTGATCCTGCCGTACTTTGTTCAAATAACGGACAAACAGTATCCCACAGTTGTTTATGTTTTTGAACCCATTTTGCACAGAGAGGCGTTTTTTGAAAAATGTATTAATAGCAATGTTGAATATTATTACACAGGAAAAAACAACTACACGTAAGATAATTACACCATGAAGCCTCTGCCTTTCTAAATGGAGGGACAGTAACTGCGTGTGTATATGTAAGCATGTAAAAACTGAAGATAGTAAGATTAACAATAACAGTATTTTGTCTCTATCTGCCATTCTGCAATTCATCTCATGTAAACAATAATGTAATAAAAAAGGCGTATACCTTTGACATTGTGTGACGAACTCTGTATTCCTCATCCACACGTCAATGCAAAAAAGGAGTTGTAAAAAATCTCAGTTTTCGGTGATTCGAAACGCCGTTTAGGTGTGGACGAAAGGTCCAAACGCATAGAAACAGCTGCATTTTCAAAAATACCCGTGTAGGTCAGGACCAATGACTGTAGAAAATGGTCAGGATGTAGTGTAAACAGTGTTGCTAACTCCTCAGTAAGGAAAATCGCTATTGGCTGTCCTAAAAGTCGCTGGAAATCGCTAAAGATGTCATCACCTAATTTGCATAATTGGTCATTCTAATGTAATTGTAACCTACGTTGTTGGAGAGATAACATTGTGGAAGAGACATAAAGTGAGTTAAATAATGTCCTAAATGCATTTGGTATTTATTTAGAACTACAAATTAAATTTCTTTTAGCAATTATTGTTTTTTTAATGTCACAATTGCAACCCTGCTCCTTTACCCAGACTTGGACCGGTGTTGTGCCAAAAAGTGATTGTCTGCCAAAAATTGATTTTCGGTATTTGCCAAAAACTGATTGCTCGTATTTAAACTGCTATAAGTAACTTGTTTGGCTATAATATGTGAAACATATTGTCACGGTACTGGGTCATGTGACCCAGTGTTTGAGTTTTAGGTATTTTTGTATTTATTTTCGATCTAGTTAATTTCTAGGTTGCTGTTTAGTCCTTATTTCTTAGTTGTTTCTGTCATCTCCCCCTGTACTCAGTCTCCCTGGACCCTGCGTCTATGTGTCATGTTTCTGGTCTATGCAGTTAAGTTCATGTCATGTTTTATCTCCATGTCTATGTCTCCGTGTTTCCTGTTTTATTTTGGAAGAGTCTGGTGTTCTTTGTTCATTGTAGCTAGTGTTACTCTCTTCTGTATTGTCATTATGTTTCATTCTAGTCAGCTGTGTTCTCATATGTCTCCACTTCCCCTGATCACCTCATGTGTGTATTTAAGTCCTTAGTCTTTCTTTGTTCGTTGTCGCGTCGTCTGTGTACCTCCCCTCTGGTCAAGTTAAGTGTTTTTCAGGATTCTGTGCAGTTCATGTTTGCCATTTGGTTTATGTTGTTTTTCATGCAGCCGCACGATGAGGTTCCGTGCAGGTCATGTTCATGTCTGTTTTCGTCACGCCATTTGGTTCACAGTTTTTTAATGCATCTGCACAGCATTCTGTTCACGGTGGTCATAGTTATTCCTTTCAGTCAGGTTAGTGTTTTTCCAGTTTAGGTTTTTGGTTAGTTGCAGTCTCTGTCCCTGTTATGTTTTGTCTACTCCCTTCTGCATCAGCCCAAATAAAGGGCATATGACACATATGTCAAATGCATCCCCCGTGGATGACATAAAGTCATCTTGAGCCACAAACAACATTCGTGTAACAAGGTAGAAGCCGCAATCAGTTTGTGGCAGTGACTTTTATATAACCTTTATTTATGCAGTTTAATAAAAATCTCATTAACATTAAAAATGTCTTTTGTAAGAGTAAGTTGGGCAAGAGGACAGCAGAAATGGCAGCAAATATTACAATAGTTCTGTAAAAATATTTTAAGTGGGGATAAAGGACCGGATTGGTTATAATATGAGTACAATAACACAGAGTTATAAAGATACTTGAAAAACAGATAATTTTTTAATATTATATATATCCCCTTTGTAAACCCTGTTCACGAAGTCTATTTACCAACATATGCAGAGATATTACACATAAAAAATACACAGAAACACTGGAAATCAGTTTTTGGCAGGCAATCAGTTTTTGGCACAACACCGGCAAAAGTGACCCGAAATAGGCACTACGGGAGGAGTTACTTTGTGTGTGTGTGTGTTTATACGTAGTTGGACCACACATCACAAAAGTGGTGTGTGGTTGGAGGATGTGTTTAGGTGGGGTGGGGGGCGCAAACATTTGTCTTGTAAAACAAGGGGGGCATAGTAAAAAAAAGTTTGGGAACCACTGCATTAAGTAAACAAGCTCTGTGCAATTTATCATCTGAACAGATAAGTTCCTGATTTCTAACCAGGTTGGTCATCATGTGAATTGGAATCCAGTGTGAAGACGTTTTTGATAACTCCTTTAGCACATTCCGATTGAAAGCCCCAGAAACAGCCTAGATGTGTTACTAATACACCACTTTATTAGTGCTCCATCGCTCTATTTAACTGAGATGTTTTTGTTAAAAATATACTGTAATTTTTTATGGTTTTTTTTTAATTAAGCTGCAGGATCGTTTTTCTGTTTTTCATTGCTGGTGATTGAATGACAATCTACTCTAACTCCTGAGTCACATGTTCTAACGTCACCACAATGCTAGAAAAAAAATTCCACATCCCATATTTTATCATTCATAAATTCAAATGCATTTGCAGTTTTTCCTTCTTGTCAGTTTATCTATTTGTCTATTTGTATTACTTTCTTCTCACCAAGACGTGACACCAAGTTTGGATTTAACAATACTTTGCAGTCCTGGAATATCAAAAACTTCATTACAGACAACTTAAGAGACCTATAACCTGAATTTTAAAATCATTTAAAATGAACATACTGTAGTATTGAAAGTGGTTAAGATATTTATGACTATATAAAGGTCACAGAAAAGTTTCAAATTACTTCAACAATAATTCAAACCACTGTGTCCTTTAAGGACAAATGTTTTTGTGCATGCAGATTTATTTTTTAGCATTGTATTAAAATGGGTTGGTGAAATAATAAAGCAGTTCTACACATTACAAGTGATGCAGAATATTTAACCTTACTGAGAAGTTATTCAAAACAACTTATTTGTCTCTTTAAATCATCTCATCATGTACTCAATCATTCAAACATGTCTTAAAGCCACGCGTGGTTATGTTAATTCGGTTATGCATTCTTTTCAACAACAGTAAAGAGTTTTAGACTTTCTCTTTCAGGTGGAAGTCTAGTTAAAAACAACTCTCTCTCGTTTGAGCTGCTCTCGGTTAAAGCGTTGGTTCAGCTTTTCCTGTTGCTGAAGTCGTTTCAGTTGCTGCAGTTGTTGCTGCAGTTCGTGCTCTACCTGCAGTTCTCCTCTTTGTCTGCGTTTTTTTATTAAGCTGTGGTCAGAGAGAAATGACAATTTCGATCTAGATGCAACAAGAGTAGTTGTCAAGCATTTGCAATAATTGTAGAAGCACAAGTTCTTACCGATGGATAGCCTTGCCAGCTGAATAAAAGAAAAAAGAGATGGAAATAATGTAGTATGAATTTGACACAGTATTATACATATAATATTAATGCAGGATGTACAATGCAATTATACCATTCAAAGGGAATGTGCCTGTAGTGTACATCTTACCATACTATAATTCATATAATATAAAACACAGTAATGCAGGATGTATAATGCTGTTACCGTATCTGTAGTGTACAACTTGCTTATCCTAAATTAGCTTTGTCTAGAAATGATAATTGAGCTGTGATCGTGGTATGTGATACCACGGCCAAAAACCAATAATAAAAGACTTTGAGGAAGCTAGCTTATTTTTCTGTGTTAACTGTATTATAGTGATGAAGTAATGATCACTGGCATTCCTAATTTTAAGTAAACAAAGGTAAAATAAATGAGGCAGAGGGTAAGATGTTTTCTATATTAGACAATTTTACAGGTCAACTTTAAAATTTTAAGCCCATAAGCCTCCAGCCAAATCTGACATTAGCTGTTGTTTTTAAATAAAATCAAACACCTCACTTTTTCAGAGAAATTGGTTCTCATCCTCATAAGGTTCCTGTGTAAAATAATGAAAGTACCCCTATATGCTATTGTCCAAACTTAAACTTTGGTGTGTTTCTTTCTAAGATTTTAAATGTATATGTATGTGTTTATGGTTATGCATATAGTAAACTTATTAATTACATAGGAAATCCGAGCAAAGAAACTGGTAAACATAGTTGTCCAACATTAAATTAAACACTGTAATGTTATTACAGTAGTTACACATCTCCATTCATACATTTTCTACAATTTCTACCAAGATGATGATTGTTAGAACACATGAGAACGGGTTACTGTAAAAAAAAATCCCTCTCATAATGGGTAAAAAAAATCTAAATATCAACAAGATTACCGCTAAAAAGTCCACCGATAATGTGGGAAATAAAGCCTTCCCCAGGTTCAGCCATGAGGACGACCATCGACAGCACAAGGAACAGTATAGTGCACTTCATCCTAGAGATAAGAATCAAAGAAATCCTATTACTTTATTTAAGTTGAATTTAATTGCTCTTTTTGAGTTATCAAGTTTAAGTAGTTTTTTTTAATTATATAGGTTGTAAGTAAAGTAAGGATATATTTAATACATACCTTTCTGATTGAGAGGGAATTCAACTGTTGTCTAAGGAAAGTAAGTGGTGTAAGGCCTACAAGTAATGATCGCTGTGTGTTTGCACATCTCTTTATATACCAGTTGTTGAATTACTTTATGTGTTGCTTGTGCAATACAGGATGGAAAAAGCAGAGTATCACATGGTATTTTGTAATGTACAACGAGCAATTATCTCTGTCAATGAGGTTATGTTTGCATGTGTGTAGTTTTCATTGTTTCTGCCTGTGCGCGGTTGAAAAGTTCAGAATGAATTCTGATACAATTTTGTATGATTGTAGAGTGGTATTATCTTTGTGTCTTTTATACACCAAGGTCATCAATGTAGTGATTTATTGATGTTCATTTTCTTACGATCAGAATATCCCACTTTTTATTAGCGTTTCTTCATGAAAGAGTTTGAAAGCGCTAGAGTTAGTTTTGGGACGATGCTACATTTTTTGGTAATTTTGCCAAGAATTAAAAAAAAGGGAATAAAGTGGAGACTTTCAGCTTCATTTGACAAAAAAATTACCAACATTTTCAAACACAGTCCCTGATTTCCAGGAGTTCAAAAGTAATTGGTAAACTTACTGACAGATCGATTCACGGCTAGGTGAGATCTGTTCCTTTTTTGTTCCATGGCCAATCAGGCACATAAAATGACTGAAGCTGTGGCACACACCATTTATGATGGTGATCTGATTAAAGGGTTTTCTGAATAATCAGTTGAAATATCCATATTTTTTCTGTCTACAATTAGAATGCTAGTATACATAAATCAGTTAGGATGACTACAGTAGACTACATAAGATTTTCATTTTGGTCTGTAATAATTCATATTTCCCATCCGTTGACATGCATGTAAGGGCAGAACTAGGAATAGGATTTAGGAGCTAGTTCTCATAGAGAGGTTCAGTTCTCAATAGTTCACTTCTTTGGAATGGTTTGTCTGCTTGCCTATCAATTCGGCTTATCAGTTCCAGATGCACTTGTGTTACAATCGCTTGATTTAAGTTTGTCTGCTGAAGGGAGAAAAATTATGTCTGAAGTGTAGTGGTGTGCGGATCCTTCCGATACCAGTAATTTATGTTCTAGAATCGATTCTCATATTAAAATATCGATATTTTAGTACTTTGGGGTAAATTTGTAGTTTTTCATTAACAGGAACACAGTGGAAAGAAACTATATCGTTCGGATCATCTAAATTGGAAGAAACTACTTCCTCTTACGCCTTTCATAGTCATATGCGAAATAGGGCTGTATAAATGTGTCGCAGCCCCTGGCCAGTGTTGCCAACTCCTCAGTAAAGAAAATCTATCTATCTCTCTCTCTCTCTCTCTCTCTATATATATATATATATATATATATATATATGTAGAGAGAGAGAGAGAGATACCCCGTCTTGGCAGACGTCCAAGAAAGGGTCTCCAGTATGAAGGGTTGAACAGCACCAGGTCCCAACATGGTTCACACCTACTGGCTGAAGATGCAGACGATCCTCCATGAGTGTCTGACAGCACAAATAAACCAGCTGCTATTTGACAAGAGACACCCAGAATGGCTAGCCAAAGGCTGGACAGTCCTGATCCCCAGGGATCCCCAGAAGGCACCGGTCCCATCCAACTACCAGGCAACTACCTGCCTCAGTACCACATGGAAGCTCACGTCAGGCATCATAGCAGCTACGATGAACAGACACATAGTTCAATACATGACTGGGGCACAAAAAGGAATTGGCAAGAATACTAGAGATGCAAAACACCAGCTACCGGTGGGCCGAGCAGTCAGCTGAAACTGCAAGACGAGGCTGACCAATCTGTGCACTGCTTGGATTGACTACAAGAAAGTCTATGACTCAGTGCCCCACACCTGGATTCTAGAATGCCTAGAACTATAAGAGATCAACAGGACCCTAAGAGCCTTAATCAGGAACTCAGTGGGGATGTGGCGGACAACACTACAGGCCAACTTCAAGCCCATAGCACAAGTCACCATCAAGTACAGAATCTACCAAGATGAGCTGCCCCCACTGCTGTTCTGCATAGGCCTAAACCCCCTCAGTCAGATCATTGACAAGACTAGCTAGTGATACTGACTACGGAATGGAGCAGTTGTCAGCCACCTCCTGTACATGAATGATATCAAGCTGTATCCTAAGGGTGAACGAGACATCAATTCACTGATCCACACCACCAGCATATACAGCAATGATATCGGAATGTCATTTAGACTGGAGAAATGTAGTCGGATGATAACAAAGAGAGGGAAGGTAGTCAGAACTGAGGGGATCGAACTATCAGAAGGCAACATTGCAGACATTGAGGACAGCTACAAGTACCTGGGGATCCCACAGGCACATGGGAACCATGAATAGGCCGCAAGGAAAGCTGGAACCACTAAGTACCTGCAGAGGGTCAGGCAAGTCCTGAGAAGTCAGTTGAACAGTAAGAACAAGATCCGGGCTATCAACACGTACGCCCTGCCCGTGATCAGAATCAGGTACCCTGCTGGGATTATAAGCTGGCCAAAGGAGGCGATATCAAGACTAGGAAGCTCCTTACCATGCATGGAGGGTTTCACCCCAAGTCCAGCACCCTGAGGCTGTATGCTAAGCGGAAGGAAGGAGGCCAGGGACTAGTGAGTGCCAGTACCCCAGTCCAGAATGAGACAACGAACATCCACAAATGCGTCAGGAAGATGGGCCCCAACCAACCGTGTGCTCAGTGAATACCTCAGGCAGCAGAAACCTAAGAAAGAGGAGGCGGTCTAGGCTGGGGTCTATCAAACCCCAGGCGCAGGCTGTGTAAAGATCCCCCTGAGATAATCCTGTACATAACAGCAGGGTGCAAGATACTAGCAGACGGGGCATACATGGAACACAATAACCAATTGGCTGGCATAGTATACAGAGTGTGTACACTGTGTCGAATATGGCCTGGAAGTTCTGAAGTCAAAATAAAAGACGCCCCCAAGGGTGGTGGAGAATGACTGAGCTAAGATCCTGCGGGACTTCTAGATTGTTACATGCCCACGAAGGATCTCCACTGGTGTCTGTATGGGGACTGATAACAAATGGGTCCAGAACAGAATGAAAATGAAATCAGACAGAGGTGTTTAGCAAATAATATTATTTTTATTGTAGATAAAATTCATATTATAAGGGAAATTTCAAAAGGAGGCACTGCTATGGCCGTAACAAGATACAGACGGACAAAATGGTGGTTGCTAGCCAACCGGACATAGTGGTTGTAGACAAACAGAAGAGGACGCCCGTAGTGATAGATGTAGCTGTTCCGAATTACAGCAAAATCAGGAAGAACGAACACGAGAAGGTTGGAGAAATACCAAGGGCTCAGAAAAGAGCTCGAAAAGATGTGGAGGATGATTGTCCATCTGTATTATGAAATGCTGCCGAATCAATTTGACTGCATTTAGCTGGATTTGAGCAGACATCATGTCTCTGAACTCCTCAGAATTAATTCGGCTACTTCAGTCCTGTATGACTTCATCAATAAGCACTAGTGTCCCAGTGCTACACCCAACCATGCACACCCAACCATCGCACTGCCTCCACTGTATTTTATAGATGATGTGGTTTGCTTTGGATCATAAGCTGTTCTAGGCCTTCTCCATACTTGCCATCACTCTGGTGGAGGTTGATCTTGGGTTCATCTGTCCAAAGAATGTTTTTCTAGAACTGTGCTGGCTTTTTTTTTTTAGATTTTTTTTAGTCCAATCTAGCCTTTCTATTCTTAGGTCTTATAAGCAATGTTCCCTCTATTTTTTCATGTGTCTGAGTGAACACACAAACTCCCTGAGCGGCCCCTTGGACCACTGTGAGCAATAGCAGATGTGTGCACTGTGGTCACGCCAGCATCGAATCCATCCAAGTTACATGGTTTATTAAAATGATCAAATTACAGCATTTACATTTATGTTAGACTACTTTTAATTAACTGCTTTATCCCACTTACAATAAAAATGTAAAAAAAATATTTTTCATGATTTCTGTAGTATGTTAACACTATTGGAAGTAAAAACAACTTGAACTCCAATTTTGAAAACACGACTTTGCTTTTTTTTATTTTTTTGCTCTGACTTGTATTATGAGTACAAGTCTGTTGTCATGTAACTCTCTGTCTGCAAAATACAGTATATAATGACCAATGTTGGGAAATTAATTATATAGTTTCTTCTTTAAAAAAGTAACTGAGTTATGCAAACAACAAAGTTTTTTGCAGTTGTTTACCTAAAAATGCAGCCAAGGTGTTTTTTTGAAATAAACATTTCAAACTATTTACAGAACAATCAGGTGTTCTGCATCAAATTCGATCCCACACAAATCATTTGTGCCACTCCAAAAAATAATTTCTGTCCACTATGAGATAAAGGAGAACAACAACCTGATACCTGCAGGCCTGACAACAGGAGATGTATAACTGTAACACCTGTAACATTCAGTATATTTCAGTATAGGTTTCTTTTGGGGGGTTTTTTTGCTCACAGATGGAGAGTGCTTTCGAGCGTTTTCCTTATAAAACACAGTTTTTACCGTTTCTTCCTGCTGTAAATATAAACAACGATAGCATTCAGGAAGAAAACCAAATATTGCATATATTTTTATCATAACTCTGGTTTTACGTGGCCGATCAACACAATTTAAAAACTGTTATAAAGTCCACACTTTTTCCGTCAATTGTTCCGTCTGTCCTGCTCACATCTCCAATGGTTGTACACGTCGTCATTAACGTGGCTTCACTCCACATCAGCCACGTGGCTTTGCTAGCTAAAACACTGGTGTTGGCACATAAGGACGCTGTCATAGCCTGTCAACGACGTTGATTAGCTGCGTATATACGAATGTGAATCGCATCATTGGCTGGACTATGGGATGAGGTGGCATTGTTCTAATCCCATACGGGAGCAGCCCGTCACTTACTGACTAACACTGCAAGACAGAATTGTTAAAGTTTTAATTTTAATTTCAATTCAGATTAGATTTTTTTTTCTGTGCGCAACGCAGTTTTTCTGTGCGCAGAGACTGCGCCAGCAATGCGCAATTGCGCACGCGCGCAGCTTAGAGGAAACATTGCTTATAAGTGGCTTTCACCTTGCAGTGAACCCTTTGTATTTACTTACCTGCAGTCTTCTCTTTATGGTATACTTGGATATGCCTTCCTCCTGGAGAGTGTTGTTCATTTTGTTGGCTGTTGTGAAGGGGTTTCTCAACAGTGGTGGATGATCGCTTAAATGATTCTGCAGTCATCCACCGCTGTTGACTTCCATGGACGTCAAGGTCTTTCCTTTTCTTTTCAGAAAAAACATCATGATGTTGCGAAGCATGAAAATGCCATCGGGTCTGCCGTGGTGGTTTACAGTTGTCAATTTTTTTCTTTTCCTTTTTAGAAAAATCTTAAATAAAAAGTGCACGCAAACCAGTAAACAAATTAAAACAAGCAATTACTGTTGAGTAACTATAACACAAAAATTACAATTAAAATTCTCAACAGCAAAAAAAATGGTGAAAATATAAATAATACGTAAACAACTTAACCCCCAAAACGTCTAAGTCACGTCACGTGACAGCACAACATCTAAACACAAGAGGGGGGAGGGGGAGCAAAGTGTGCCGCTCTGCGCTGACACAGGAGCAGCGAATCCAGCGACCTGGCTGTTTCGTCTTTGCCGAAAGCACAGCATTGCAAACAAGAGCGGAAGTTAAAGTAAAGAATCGATCTCACCAGGCTATTATCGAACTGATACCGATGCCGAATTGGTATCGATACAATCGATATTTGGATCAATCCGCCCACCACTATCATCCAGGTGTAACACCATGTTTGAATTTTTAATACTTTGCTCTCCTGGCATTTGAACAGTTCAGTACAGGCAACGCAACAGAGTTGTTTTATAAGAACATAAAAAACAAAACTTAAAATGATCAGATTATTTCTGAAATACAATAATGTATATATCACACTCCCAAAAAGTTGACTCTGCTCATCTGAATGTAGCATTGTCAATGGGAGAAAGATTTCATCACTCATCCGAGTGACTTCCCCAACCTTTTGAACGGTACATTTGCATGACTGAAACTAGCAGCACGGGTGAA